ATATGGATTGGGATTCTGGAGCCATCCTAATAGTATCAAGGGAGTCCCTAATGATGTCTCCAAGCCCTTCACATGGGAGAAAGAGATTGTCAGAGGGTGTGTCATTAAAGAAGTCATTGGGGATGTTCTTGTCCTCATGGTCAGGGACCAGCAGTGGTATCCACAGGTTCCTGAACCCTGTGAAGTGAGTGTCACTGTTTCTGGATCAGAGGTGACTTGGTCTTTTTTCTTCTGTAGCATCTCTCAAATTTGTTTTCCCAGTGTGGATTTGAGGTATAGCTTAGGGTGGAGACTGAGTGGAGTGTCAGAGAGAGTTTGAGATGCTATGGAGGGAGAGGTCAAGAGTGACATTTCTTAAGATTCATCATATGTTCTGAAATTTCTGGTAGTGCTGGACTGTCTAAATGGTGATCAATTGTCTTTCTCAGCAAAGCTGGATGATGATCAGCAAGCCTAACAGAGTTTTGATAATAGAGGCTAAAAGTTCAAAAAACTTATGATCAAAGTTTAGAGATTCTGGGTTAATAGATGATATTCAGTTTTCTTCACACAGCTGTATATGAGAAAGAGGAATGATAAGCTTTAAGCTAATTGTCAGACTCAAGCACCATGTGAACAGAAACACATGATAAACAAAAGTCTCCTCACACTTCAGGAGATCAACTGAGTTCACTAATGCATATTCTGATCAGTGTATCACAAGACTAATAGATTGGCTTGAGAATAGAATAATATAAAAGTAAACTTTAGCTCAAAGCTAGAGATTACCAGTGAGAGTGAGCATCTTATATACTGTACAAGAGATACCCAATTATACTACCTACTTATTGTGTATTTCTGTGTCCATTGTGCTCATTGTTCTTAAGCATTGCTACTATACATAAAAGAGATATTGTGTATTGTCAGACAATGCTGTCGCATTAAAAGACAATGATGGACTTGGCTATTTGTGATGACTAAGCTTTGTCCCACAGTCTTAAGCACCTGTTCTAGCACTCTGACTAAGTATAGATAGGGGTTAATCTGTAGAAAATAATAAAGAAAATAGAAAAATCATAACACTTCAAATACTATTTATAGCCAGCTGATCTCAATATCAAGCTAGCTGGACCCAGTCTAAACCACAGCAGAAACACATTTCTACCAAGAAGCTTTAAGAGAATTCACAAAGATATAACTAATTTTCCATCAAAGTTGCCTCAAAAGGCATATTCTATTTCTTTATCATCACTTTGTATAATGTTTGCAGTATTAGCACTGTCCTTTTCATTGTTCCATTTTATATGACAATCATGACTAATATGGCCAGTCTTGCTATATATGTAATATCTGATATTCTGCTTTGGACTGCTTGATCCCCTTGATCATGCAATTAGAGCCATTGCACCAAGTGTGTTGCCCCTCCTTTCTTCTTTGTCAATCAGAGCATTTGTCATGCTACTTATAATAGGTAATAAATGAGAGCAAATTAAGAAGTCAAGATACTATAATCAGAGTCTAATCATGCCAGAGCCTATAACCTGTTGAAAGTAGAGAGCAGAATAATGTATAGAGGATTAAAATTAGCCTCTTGAGAGATGTTCTACTTAAATACATTTTGTATTACTTTAAGATCTTTTTATGAAATACTAAATAAGTCTGGATTATGATCCAAGTCAGCTGCCACTGATTGGCATTGTATCTTTGAGTATATTCTTATACTCACTTGGAATTGCTATTCTAACAAAGTTGAAAATACTCTTTTATATCACTGCAGGTTGGCTACTTGCTATAATCTGAAGAATGATGTTTGTAGATGAGACTCTGTTTAAGATAGCTATCTCCAGTCATACTCTGCAAGTATATGATCCAGCTCTTACTATTCCCTTTGGCTTTGAGATAACATGATTGCATTATATGGGTTAAAATGTCAGGTGATGATCAAACAATCACAAATGCTTGGCACTGTAATGGCCAGAGTCTGACACTAACTGATGATAAAGCAAGATGATGAGAATGATAAGATATAGGATGATGATAAGTGGGATGAGATAGAGAGGTCAATAGACTACAGTTACTAGCATAAGAATTGAGGTGGTAGCCACACTAAGAGTCTAAGAGTTTAATCAGTATGAATTAATCTTAGCTTGAGACTAGAGTATATTATTGTAAACTACTGAAATACTGTATAGAAATGTCTTGACCCTACAGCTGACTATTGTCCTATTGTTGTGCCTACTACTCATTTTCTGATGACAATACTCCCTGTGCCCTGTGAATGTGCTACTGTCTGCCTACAATACTGTTGCTATAGCAAGTGTTGCATGAGCTGTGGTTATCCTAGCTGAGATCATGCCATTGCATAGTCTTTCTGTGTGGTCAGCATGCTAATGCACAGCTGTATATTATATGGCAATAAGTAAGGTGCAGCATAGTGTCACCATGCATGCATCTGTAATGAACATGCTGCAGACCTCTAATTTCAACTCAACTTCTATTGTTCAACTTCACATTTTATCAGACTCTGTCAGACTCTATTTCTGTTTCTAGTTCATATTTCATTTCATATTCCATCTGATTTCATCTCTTTAATTTATCACATCTAGATTCTATCATAGTAGCAAATAAATATTATATCAGAGTCCTCAGAATCTCAACTCCTCTGGCTACAATATTCCAGACATAGGCTCTATCTTCAGAATCTGATTCCTCAGACTCTGCACTAGTATATAAGCTGTAGAATTACTTGTATATACCTCAGTTCAAATATCAACTTGGATTAGCCAACTCTCTCTCTTCTATTTGACTTTCAAATCAAACTGTTATCTCTAGTCCACAAACCTCTGACTCCATAGGATTAACTTCATCTCTCATTCTATAGATCCCTGTCTATATCCATCTTAGGACTTCAATCCAAGGGTAATATTGCTAATAGCTTCACCAAGGCCCACATACTCTATAGCCTCTGCTACATGCATTCAGTCTCTTTTTTATTAGCATATTTCTAACAGTGTCATCTATAGTTTCATGTAGCTTTGTCAAGGTTTCTCCATAGCTAAGACTGACATTATTGAGGATCATCAGAATTTTGTAAGTGTTGGCAGATCACAATTAGAGGCTAAAATTGTAATATAAAATCTACTTATAAATATGTTTTCCATCAATGCTGGAAGCATCTTGAAGGATCAGTGTGCCCATGAGAAAGACTTAGGCTGAGCCATTTGAATCAGCTTATGGCTATCAAAGTCAAGAGTAATAGAGATGCTGCAAAGGCAGCTGTACTATCTCAAGTCTATGTTGTTCAGAGATGCTATGATGAGAAGTGAGGATACATATACAAAGAGATTCAGAGCTATGACATACAATATTCTTCATCTCTGCAGAGATAAATGTCAAGTGTTCCAAAGTTGAAGTGTTAAGGAAGAGGAGTGATGCAACAGCAAAGATATTGTGATCATAATTATAGTCATATAGTACATCTAGGTGTTATGATTTTTCCTTATTTCTTTTCTTTTTCTTTAGAAATGACCCCTATCTCTGCTTAGTCAGAGTGCTTAGGCCAGCGCCTAGGACCATGGGAAGGCTTAGTCAGCAACCCAGTTGATCATGGTCTTATTGTGCTGCTGTATGCTGTGAAGGGAGAGACAATACTCCTTTTGTCATATAACTGTGGTGCAGCAGTAACAGCACAACAGCAAGACAACAGCTTTTATGGAGAGCCTGGCAACAGCAGGGGTAACAGCTCTACGACAGACAATATCTTTTGTGAACATTTATTTATAGTTAGATAACAGAACAGTATTTAAGTAGCACAGTCTTCGCTGTAGTAGCTCCAGCATTAAGCTAAAGTTTATTCTCCACCATCTTATCTTGAGCTACCTGCAATGCCTTGACTACACATCTCTATTGACACATCAGTGAACTCAGTCAGTCTAACCCAAAGTGCAAGGTTCTGAACTGTTTATCATGTGTTGATAGTCATGTGGAATTTGGGCTTAACACTAGAATGCACAAGTTGATTATGGACATTGTGGACTGAGGGAAAATCAGATGCTCTAGAAGAGCACTATTGATGCTCAATTCTAGAGTATCAGGAGTGCAATGAGGAGATAAAATAGGCACTGGAGTCATTAATACAGATTCTCAACATAAAGATAGTTTCAAGATTGCTGAAACTGGTGAACAGGAAAAGCATCTCAGATAATGTGTTAAAGAGTATGCTTGCTAATATGAGATGGTGAACACTAGATATTAAATGTGCCAGAGGAAAGATATAAGCTCTGAATATAGGTACTAAAGGTGCTTTCTTCTAAGTCATCTTTATATCTATGTGAACCCATTGGAGGTTGAGAATGAGTTCTAACAGAGGGGAGAATATGCACTGGTAGTCAATATCCTCTATATGATGAACAAATATTAGGATACAAAATAATAATAATCTGCAACAGACTTTCTTGAAAGTTGAGATAATGGTCTGTATGCATATTCTGCCAGTGACACAGTTCCACATTGGAGAAAAGGAGTTGGCTGGTCATAGGAAGAAATAAGGAATGTGCCAATGAGCATGCCTTGAATGAGGGGATATTGGTGCTAAGATGATGAAGGATTTCTCCCAATATATCTTGAGGGATGTCCATAGTGGATGATTTCTGAGTCTTCATTTACTGACATCCATTTTCTCTGTGGAGTGATCTGTGACACATGGAGTGGTGACATATCAAAGACAGTGTCAAACAAGGTGGACTGGATGAAGACTCACTGAGGCTGAATTGAACAAGGTTATCACATTCTTTTTGGCATCTCCTGCATTGATGTTATGTAGTAGTTACATTATTTGTATCATGAATCCATGTTCACATTTACCACCTTTCATCCATGTAAGCAGAACAAACTATGTCACTTATATAATGATATAAGTATGAAGTGAAAAATGGTTTGAAAATGATGTAACGAACAAGAATTAAAAAAGCTCCTTCCTAATTGTTCTCACTAAAAAAGAATATTCAGGAACATCAAATAAGGCCCTGTAAGTTCATTTTCATTCATACATGAAGAATACATATAAGGTCATTTAAATAAATCAATTACCAACCTGCTTGGGTCGCAGCAGTCCAAAGAATTTTCCTCGCTGCGCTTTCGCCTCAATGCTCTCCCTAAGCTCGTGCTCGATCTCCTCTTCCGAAATATGCCCGCCCGTGGAATACCACACAACCGTAAGCATACCAATAAGCGCGGTCAGAACACAGCTGGGCCAATCTATCAGCGGGAAAATTCAGAAGGGGGAAACAAAGTATCGCTCACCCAGCCATTGCACCAATACCTTTTGCATGCCAGCCGAGCTTCTGCGGGTACGGTCCCAAGGATAAACCGCTAAGATCAGTCGCCGAAGCATGCCCTGCGGCATTCCCAGAGTAGGGCGTGTCCAAGGCAATGCAGTTGTCGTACATTGCTTGGGGGACGGTGTTGCGCTGCTGAGCGACGAGCGGGGCCTCGATCAGTGTCATGGCGAGACCGGCTTGGAGATGCCATTCGATATGACCTAGTCATGGTTCATAAGAAGCGAAACCAAGAGTGGAAACGGCGATGCGTACAATGGAGGAACCATGTTCCGGGATTATCCGCGACCACACGGAGAGTTATAGAACCGCCCCCAGGAATTTGGACCGTATCCCGGCGCATGGGGTTCGGTTGGTCTTCAACAAGAGGCGGGTTTAGAGTGGGGTCGTCGGATGTGTAGTCCTCAGCACGGCCAACGATCATGGATTTGTGCCCGTGCAAATGGCTAGGAACGATGGCATCGTTAACACGTCGGAGAAACGTAATGAAGCCGGACTTACAACGGATGCTTCCCTGTGTCTCCATTCTTGATCACGATGTCGACAACGTCTCCATAATCGACGACGAAACTGAGAGGTGTATACGCAGTCTCGGTAGTAGCGTTGCTTCCCAAACTAAGTTCGCTGAATATTGCAGGTACATCGGGCGAATTGTACGTGATCTCGTTGAACATGGCGCGATTCGTTCCATCGTCCATGGTGTCGAAAGTGACTTCCAAATCTATCGTTACGTTGGACGTGGGAGCTGCGACGACTTCGACAGGGACTAGAACTGTATCATTAAGGTCGATGTATTCATCAATAGCGCCAAGATCGGTGATGGACGAGGACGAAGAATACGTGATGGACGAAGTCAGATCTAGAGCCACATGAGACCCAGAATTCTCCATCCACGGGGAAACTCACTGGGGTTCAACGTGGCTGGAACTTTATCGAACATGGTGGTGTCCATGTTCGCGTGTATAACCCAGTTGCTAGCGTTGGTATCATTACGAGCCGTCACGAGAATAGAGTACCGTTGAGCAACACTAATACTGAGTACATCAACGGCATACTCCTCGATGTCAGTCTAGAAAAGATGGGATTAGGCGCTAGCCCATTAGCTTCAGGTTAAGAATCTTACCCCATCGACCTCGATCTAAACGGAGATGAAATATCAACGGGGACGGAACGAGGAAAACGTAAAGAGAAGCACTCACAATGCGCATATCATGTCCATCAATCCAGAAGTAGAACATCGAGAAAGCGCCCGTGTTCAGGAGCCTCAGACGGTAGGTCTTCCCCGCTTCGAAGGGAAGAGTGGCATTATCATTGAACCCGACTGCTGAGGTTGCTCCAGTAGGGGAAGTCCCTGAAATGGGTCCAAGATAGGAGCCATTTTGGGCAAAGTAGATCAAGCCAGATTCTACCACATTGTTACCCGGATAAAGTTAGACGAAACATATAGTCATGCTTACGGGGTACAGGTTCGGCCCCACCAGGGTTGGCGATATTGATGAACTCTTCTAAGAGGACACTATGCTGTTGGTGGTACCAATCAGCGACACTGATGGTGTATTCCTCGTCATATGAATAGACTTCTTCCGAAGGATGAATAACGACGGGCCCACGCAGACCGTCGACATAATGTCCCTGGAGGATTGAGATTACATTTGGAAACAGTCAAGGTATAACTTCCGACTTACCTTTGCATGACCGTGTACCCAATATGTACCCCATTGACCGGAAGAGTTGATGGGAACGACGTAGTCAAATTGTCCGCCGGGGGGAATACCGCTGCACATGGGTCAGTATGAATGATCGTGGAGTAAGGATGTAGGATTACCATTCGGAAACCAGTAAGGCGCCATCCATCCAAGATGTGGAGTTGAAGAACATGCCATGGTGATGAAGAGTCGACCTTTCATCTAGCGAATTTGTGGTATGAACTATAAGTGAATCGTTGGCCGAAATATCGATCACCGGTATGCTAGAAGAGTGGAGTTAAACAAAGGGTCCGAGTCTACGGAAATTTACTAACGGCCAAGTATTGTTGATGCCTACGACTCGGCGGCTGAACAGGCCATCTGGATTGGCATCCTCGACATATGTTATATTCCACCAAATTTCTTGGACACCAGCGAGGACGGGAGAAGCGAACAACAGCGAAGCCAGTGAAAAAGACGACCACATCTTTGCCAGTGAGCGACGCTACTGGGAGTCGAAGGAAGAGCGGGTGAAAGGCAGGTCTGAGGAACCATTCAAATCCGGTATTGTTTAAAAGAGGCAAATATAATGGAACACGGGTCAGGTCGTTGCTGAGCGGACGTTGACAGTTAAACTATATTTAGGCGGCGAAAATTTTATCTGATAGGGAAAATGATGTATCAGATAAGGGAAACGCCACCCATTGGTCTCGGCGCGGTCTCGAGGTCTGTCCGATCTTATCTGATTTATCGAATTCTACCCACGACTCCACGACTTTGAACTATGTAATTGCGAGCGGGAGAAGTCAATGGAAGAAAGATAAGATCCAACGTCTTTGCGGTTGAAACATTTCGGGCAGATATTTTGCCAAAAAGATATTAAACGGAGGTAGGAACATAACAACGTCCAGTAAGGGTGGTACGAGTAAGGTGACTAGCCTAACTGTTACGGGACCGAACCTACCTCATGCTCTGCCGTTTTCGTCAAGCCCCATTGTGAATACTCCCTCACAGTGGGAAGATAAGAACCTAAAGCAGCCCTGGAGATATTTTCAGGGCAATCCTGTCCATGCAAAACAGTTCGATGTTTCAGGGTGGCGGTACCAAGTAGCACATTGTGATCTAATTTTGGAACCGACTTTTCACATCTTATCAGATTTGATATGATGAGGCATTTCCGGGTTCCTGGTCGACACATATGCCTCAGTTTGTCCAATCTTGCGCCGAAACCGCTCTAGTCCGAAAAGGTTACGTTAATTTAAATGTACTGATGTTTCCTGTCCTCCCTCCCTCCCCACCCCTCCCCTTACCTGGTGGCCGTCGAGATGGCGAAGAACGTTTTTTCCGTCCCTATTTTCTTCATCGTTTTCCGTGAAACATTGGAGGCGGCTATCATCGTTTCAGTTCTTCTAGGTCTCGCTGAGCAGATAGTTCAGGATGACCCAGGGCGTATTGGTGTAGCGACTACGCCGAAGGATGAAAACGACTCTAATGGTAGTCCTCGTCTCGACGGCGCCGATGCACTGCCCCATTTGTCGGGCGAGGATGATGTGGTCCACCGTCGCCGCCTCATCCGCAAGCTGAGAATTCAGGTAAATCATTTTCATAGCCTCTCTGATCGTTCTGTTTGACTTTGTGAAGATTTTCCTTGGCGCAGGACTAGGTCTATTTATTGCCCTCGCTATTGGTGCTGCGTACGACCCTGACTTACATAAATACGTTTCCAACTCAATTTTGCATAGCTTTATTGCCGTCTGGTTTACTCAAGCATCAAATTTATGGTCCAAATCTGAAGAACTATGGGAGGGTAAAATATAGAATATATTACTCTCTTCAGTCAGCTTTACTGACTGGTTTCTCAGGTATATTCGAACTTATTGCCTGTCTCATGATTTTTGTTATGGGAGTTACCATGCTCAAGATGGATCGGGGTAGGATTCTGCCGACTTTAATCCTGTACTCGTGCTGATTTAACTGCTTGTAGCAAAGGCAAAATGGCGCATCAAGCTTGAGCGCGCTTTCGAAGGAAAGCGTAAGTCGTCCTTTCCTCCCGTTAATTTACATTCTTATAATTGTCCAGGATCCGATGGAAAAACTGCCGCAGGAAAATGGGTTCTCTTCATCCTTCCTCTTATCACTGTCCTCCGTGAAGGTAATTTGCTATTATTTTCGTTGTCCATGCGGTTTTCTCACTAGAAATATACAGGTATGGAAGCGGTGATATTCGTCGGCGGCGTCTCTCTTGGACAGCCCGCCACATCCATCCCGCTCGCCGCAATTGTCGGTTTGGTATGCGGCCTAATCTGTGGCTTCTTAATCTACTTTTTCGCCAGTCGTACCAGTAAGTATATCTCGAACCATTACATTCAACATAAAAGCTAACCGCTCGCTAATCCACAAATAGCTCTCACGGTTTTCCTCATAGCTATGACCAACCTCCTTCTCCTCATTGGCGCAGGTCTCTTCTCTCGCGGTGTCGGGGCTTTCGAAACCAACGCTTTTAACAATCTTCTTGGCGCAGATGTTGATGATGCAGGTGGAAGTGGCCCGGGCTCTTATAGAGTTCAAGGAAACGTATGGCACTTGGATTGCTGCAATCCTGAAGACAACTTGAACAACAACGGCTGGTCGGTATTCAACGCCTTGTTTGGATGGACCAACAACGCGACTCGTACGTTTTTTCGAGTCTCCAAATTCGCGTCATCCGCTAACTTAGGCTTCGGCATTTCAGAGGGAACCGTGTTGTCTTACGTGTTCTATTGGTTGGCCGTTATTGTTACGCTTGTGTTCCTTAAAGTCAAAGAGGTGCGTTCCACGTATATTGTCATTTCGCGGACTAACAACTGACGATGCTCTGTAGGGTCGCAGCAAATTCTTTGGATATGAGTCCGCCACAGGTATTCGTCGCCGAATTAGGCGAGAACAGAAACAGGCTGCGGGAGCAACCCCCGACACAGACAAATCTGAAAGCAAGGAAGAAGTTAAAGACGAGAATGACAACCAGGTTCTTCCCAAGTAAATTGGTTCTTCCGCGAAGTAGTCTATGCGAATTTTTTCTTAGCTCAAGGAAGGTTTGTTTATTGAAGTAATGAAAATGTGATGTAATGACCCCAGTTTGCGTAAAACCATCATTGAGTTCTTTTTGCATGTATGGCAACAAGCATCCGAACCGACTCTCGGATCCCTGGGCATTTCCAATCTTAGTTACGGTACCTTCACGATTTTCGCCACCAATCCGAAATTTATTTTAAGCTTCTGCCAAGAAGCTAAGGATATGCCCTTAGGCACAACTGGGGCAGGCACGCTCTTTCAAGTTATCAGATTACCAGATGAGATTATGATTGACATTTTTGAAAATAGATGCATTTAGTATAGCAGCTAATAGTATCCGCTGCAAGGAGCTCAAGGTATCTGCAACAAAGAACAAGTACAGGCGATCGGGACCATCACATTTATAGTATTGGCAGTATTTTAGGACAGGCCAGAGTACAGGAACATGCATATGTCAAGGTGGAGCGTCAAGGAGAACTTGGTTACAGGGATAAATTCGAATACGTATACACCCCAAGCAGAAGCAACTTCTGCCCAACAATAAAAAAGGGCCTGTAGGATGAGAAGATCTTAACGAAGCGGACGGAGCTCAAACTGAGATTTGGAACCGAAGCAGACTTTGGCGAGGTTTGACAGCGTGAGGGTACGCTAGAAAGCCTAGCGGTCCACCCTGCGCTTCAGCTTTCTGAATTGCTCGTTCCCATCCATTTTTACGATCTCTATACTCTGCCGCAGACCCCATCGTGACGGCCATGGGAATCGAGACGTGGTCGAGGAAAATGACCAGGGGGGTATTTCAATTGATGCGCATGCTTTTCCCGCAGATCCTTGACTGTTTCCAGATGTTTGGATAGGTCATTTTCCGCTATCGTGACCAGTAGCGGAAATCGTTGTGGGGCCACCATCTGAACGTCACACGACGCCACGCCATATGCTTTCAATGAAAATTCATCATGCTGTACGCGCTTGGGTCTCTGGCAGCGCGGCCGATGAGAAACCCAAGCTTGCTTCTGGCATTCTCTGGAACAATGGAAAGAGGCCTGACATCCTTGGCAACGCTGTACTGCCCACTTTGAACGACCGGTTCCATCAGATGGACGCTGTAAAGGGAACAAGTTGTTTACTTCATCAGGACGCGTGAGGATCTTCAGACGTACATTCGTTGAATTCGTCCCTCATTGACCATCTCACATCTGACGGCCCATCGACTGTCCGCTGTCTTCTTCAACATGAACCGTGCATGCCTGAGGGCTTCGGGGGCCCACAGAAACATCCTCTTCTAGGCCCGATCGCTGTATCCGCTGCATGCTCCTGCGAACCTCTCGCAAGACACCACGTATATGAGATAAGAGTTGATCGAATTGAATATCCGCACGATGGTTGAGAAGAGAAGCGACTTCGCTGAGGGAGTTTCAGTAGTATAAATGGGGATGCATTTCAATAGCGAGTCAAGCAGAAGGCGCTCCAAAGCTTGCACCACTCTGAGAAAACCATCATCAAAGCAAGACGCTAAGTATCCAGCACAACATCTGAGCATTCCCACTATTCGCAGGTGAGCCTTTTCATCCTTGAAAGATGAGACAAAACCAGGCTTGCGCGATGTGATCCTTGCCATCAATCGACAGATCCAATGAGGGACATGATGAGCAAGGGAGTTTCGACGGAATTTTATGGAATTCGTTGTTGTATGCTCGAGAAACACAAGTTGAGATCATAACATGTTCCGTGGATGCTGTAGGCTGTTGTATATAGTGTATCAGACCCTTGAGAGAAGCAGTGATTTTGTAGGGAGACGTCACATATAAAGCTGCGGTAACCGCAACGGAGGCCTTCATCATCTACGTCAGTTTGTTATAGCAGGCCCATTAAGATCAGCATAATTGTCTCTTGCCGGAGGAAGTCCATAGCAGATGCCATCAGAGACCCAAACGTTCATCAAACACGATAGGAAGTCGGGAGACTTCATCACAGCTGAAATCTGAGGTATTTTGAATAGTCCTTTCAGGAATCGCAGGTGTGATTCGATCACAAGGTCAACGTACTCATGAGAGATGAAGGAAGCATCTCGACGACGTAAGTTTGAAGAAATCGCAGTAGCGCAATTCCGGCCACAACTTCGCTGCTAGAGCAACGTTACGAGGACTGCTGAAAGCATGACGATAAAAAGCCATCCTAAGAGCACTGAGGCTTTCATGAGTCATTTTCAGTGTCCCCAAACGCTCTGAATCTAAGCCTGGGTCGATGACTGTCGTAGGTAAGGAAACGGATAGCAGATGGCGGCGGACGGCAGCGATGATAGAGGGAAAAACGATGGAATCCTAATTGAGCCTCGACGACAATCTGTAAAGAGCATCCAAAGATCCCCCCTCCGCTTCTCTCTATTTACGTGATCTTTCGATGAGTACAGCGTTTAAAACAGAAACGAGTGATACCTTATTTTTAAGCCTCTCCATGCCAGAATGTCTTTCGTATGGAGCAAAACCAAGGCGGGCGGTGAAAATGAACCGATACTTGGAGTCAAGAAGAGGGCAACGATGTGCGGAGAAGGGAAAGAAGACCTGAGAAAACTGGAAAGGCAAGTTCAAAATCGCACGTGACAGGCGCCACGGACGCGCCGAATAGTATTTAATAGTAAGGACGCGGACTCCCCGGACCAGAGGACACATAACAAAAAAGACCACCCACCAACCCAAAGAGTCAGGAAATACTCAGATTCACACAAGATACCAATGCCGAAGGACTCTATGAAGTCGTATTACATATATCCAGTACAACTGACAAAAATCGAGTTAACGAGAAGAAATTTAATGATGATAATGACCTAGAAATTGTCAGCAAGAACGAGAGCCGAAGCCCTTTCAGATCGAGGCTTGATGCAGTACTTGAACGGTTTTGGATGGCTTGAGAACCTGTTATTAATACACCTTCCACATGTGTAAGAGAAACTAACAAACCTGACAATACCTGACATACTTTCATAGACAGGCACAACGGAAACACCGTTTTCCACAGCGTTCGTGATATCAAAGACGGCGAGAGACATTGCGAAACATATGAACAGGGAAGCTTCAGCAAGATGGGATCCTGCACAGTACCGTCGCCCATAACCGAAGCATGCATGCCGGGGATCACGCTGTACCTCTTTTCCAGGAAAGGCTATAAATCGAGACGGATCAAAGGTGAATGGGTCGGGATAAACTTCAGCGTCATGCAGTATTTGCCTGACAACAATAATTAGGGTCAGATGGAGCTGTTAGTGCGGACAAGAGGAAGACTGACCAAAGATTCGTGATGATAATTGAGCCTTTGGGAACGAAGTAACCTCCTACGATGCCATCTTCCATGGCCGTATGCGGGAAGCCTTATATCTCTGTGTCAAAAAATGGCTAGATTAAGACTCGACGGGAATATCATACCGATAGGCGCGACACTGTTCCATCGCAAAACCTCCGAGACAATGGCATTGATATACGGCAGATTTTCACGATCCATAAACCCTGGTAGCCTATCACTTCCAACTACGGCATCAATTTCTGCTTGCGCCTTTTTCTGTACATCTTTTGAAGGCCTATAAGTGGCAAGCCGGGGACGCACGACCACACGTACAAGGGTAGAGGATCATGGCTAGAAAGAAGGCGTATTGAGCCGAGACTGTAGTATCTGCTCCGGCTGAATGCACCAGTCATAAGCCACAGTTAGTGAGAGAAAGTGGTCAAAAAAGGGTCGAAGGCATACCTCCATACAGTGACGCAGCCGTGTGCTTGATATCAAGAAGTTTGCTAGGTGATAAACCTTCTTCATCCGCGAGAGCCGATGATAAGAATGAGGGAGGTGCGATGCCTGCATCCTGTCAATACGTGTTTCACTCATGACTAAAAAATCAGCAAGAATCAGCCGTACCATTTGTCCCTTCGTAAATGCGTATGGAACCTCAATCACATTGTCGAATATCTCGGCCCACTTTTTCGCCAGACGTTTGAACCCTGCACCAGGCCAGTTCTCTGGTAGGTGGCGGAGTGCAGGGAAGTTATCGACCAAGAAGGTACCTGAACAAAGTTCAGTAGGTTGCTGGGGATCCGATTCCCTGCGTCAGTGACTCGCCTGGTGTTGTAGCGATACCAAAGTTCGTGTTTGAAGATTCGATGAGCTTCACGAACGGATCGTTCTCCTCTTGTACGTCGATGCCATATGTGACCTTCAATATGATTGATCCCGAAGTTCTGCCGACCCTCATGATCACAACCGTACAGAGAACCGAGAACAACGTACTTGCGCAGACTCTCGTTCAAGTTCCCAGGGTTGGCTAGAACACGTTTTAAAAGTCGCCGCGTCTCGTGCTCCTCCATGGGAAGATACTTTTGAATTGAATTGATAGTGCCCATCATCTTCGAGATGTGCTTCCGGCAATTGCGGAAGCTCGTGTTATACCGGAGGAGGACGACTGTCTTCGCATATCCAACAAGCTCACCAGCCATTTCTAGCCTGGGTCTGTCAGAATAGATGGCGCCTTTTCGGTCAAGTTCGGCAAGGATTTTGGCGTCGTTAACAATAATCATGCGCTGTCCCATGAGATTCACAGAACATATAGGGCCTGGCGAGGAGATAAGAGGAAGTTATGGAAAAGAAGAATAGAACAGTAATGTGAACGAACCATACTTCCTTCCCCATTCAGCATAAGTCAGCCAGTTGCTTTTCGTTGGCATGTCAAAGATATTCTGTAGAGCATGGGTCTTCGCGACAGCGTTCTCAGGCAACTACTTACCCCAATTACAGGCCAGCCCTTGGGGCCGGGCGGTAGCATGTTAGGTTTGCGACCGAGAAAAAAAGCCAGCGCTGTCAGCAGGAAAGCGCCGGCGAAGAGAAAGACATCTGAAAGCGCCATTTCGGAAAGAGGATGTTAATTGAGAACCTGAACGCAGGAAGGAAGAATATCAGCCTTTAATGGAGTTCAGTGTGTTTGAATGTTTTGCTGAGACCTACAGGCAAATTCCGAGACCAATCAGACCGCGAAAGAACAATCCTTTGATATGGGCGCTGATCTCGCATCGCCGAACACGCCTTGCGAATCCAGAATCCAACACGTTCGCAGTGTCAATGATCCAATTACATAGGTGTGATACAAGAGACATATAATCATAGTTTCACGTATAAATCTACTGGGCGACGAAAACCTATGCATGATTCGTCACACGGGAAACAGAGGTGGGAAAGTAGGGAACGCACCTCCTTCACCAGCCAAACCAAAGTGCTTGACCGGACCGAAGCCTAATTGAGATAGCAGCGACTCGAACTCCTCGGGCCGTATTTTCAGTGTCGCCGCTCTATCCATCAGATTCTTGTCCAATCTTTTCGCCTTCTTGTATGTATCCCATGATTGAGGTTCGAAGACAAAGGTCCCTCCCGGCCGAAGAAGAGAATACACTCGATGGAAAAATCGCTGAAGTCCTTCATCGCCTTGATTCAGATGGATCCATTTCGATATTGAGAACCTGGGTGAGGAATGAGACGAGCAAACCGAAGGCTCTAGACAGGACATACGCTATTATAATATCATATGGTTCAGAATCCTCCGGAATCTGGTCGTTGACCCAATCCGACGCGCGAAACGAAACGTTGTGCGGAAAGACGTGCTTGCCGCGATTCCGGTTGGGGGGTATTGGCAGAGATCCAAACGTATGTTCAAACGATAGAGGAAAATGATCTGGGTGCACTGAAGTGTCCGTTCCTGGCGCTGAAGGGGATTGAGTAGACCAGACGACGGTTCGTCTCCTCCATGCAGCTCGGACCAGAGACTTGTCAATGTCAACGCCAATGACCTTGTGGGCTCCCCAGGACTGAGCTGTCTTAGTACGCTCAGCTGTAAGTGAATCCTTCAGTAGGACACGACTCACCAATTTCGCAAGTAACATAACCTTCATTACATCCTACATCCAACACCCGCTTTCCAACAAAAGAGTCCACAGGCAGTAAGGCTAGTCGTGGATCATTCACGAAGGGCCTTTTAGAGTAGTAGCTAAACGATTTCAATGAGCAAGAGCACTTTGACAATGAAGTTGCACGAGACACACCCATGATAGTTCCCATAAATCGGAAGGTTCGAGTCCATCACAGCAGCTTAAGGGAGTATCAAGTTTCGTCGTAAAGGAGGATACTGGTAATTATCGACTGAGGCGTCGGGACGAAAGGAATTGTACGCGGCCACGTGTAAATGTGGTTCAAGTTGTAGACCATTATGGATCCGTTTCCTCAATCTTCTGCATTTATTTCCTGATTGGGTTGTCAACGTTCAACGCCCATAGAAATCCAAAGCCGGCAACGTTGTAAAAGATTATCAGAAATCGTGCGCCGTCCTCGAATTCAAAAATAGGATGCAGGTGAACTGACCATGAAGCAGAGGGCTGACAAAACAGACACGAGTATCGGTATCATGTTCAAATAGAGACATAAAATGTTTTTTTGCAACGTGTAAATGTCCAAGAAACGTTCGCGTCGATGTACACAACACTACAAGAGATCTTCGTATATGTACAAACATGATTTACAGAGCGGCCAAGTCAAGCTTGAATAAACAGTAGAGCAACGTCGGGTTGTTACAAACTGGGCAAGCGGACGTCGAAATGACAGCATGTACAATGCAACTAACGCCGAGCTGTCAGTAGAAATCCCACCAAAACGAATAGATCATTTACTCATAGCAGAAAATATGACCACACATAGTCGCAGTGATATTTTGACAAGGGTTTATCCCGCAAAGGCGGCAGTGCAGACGTAAGCGCGAGGAACCACTGACGGACGATACCGAACTATCCGGCAGGGAGTACGAGCCACCCGGACCTCCACTGCTGCCGGAGGCTGAACCAGGAGTAGTTGAAGAGGGCGACACTGGGGTATGACCACCATTGGACGAATTGGACTTCGAGCCCAAAGCCTGGTGGTCAGATACCATTTTGAAAGGCGAGAAAAGCAGTGCCGAGGGGGATCGACCATTCTTCCCAGAAACTGTGGAAGGCGTTGACGCCACTGGAGACATGACGGGGATTTGTGCAAGGCCAACTGGAGATGAGACATCCGGTGAACTGGGTGCTTTATTGTTAGTACCTGAGAATATTTATCGACACGTAATAATTGGCTTACCTGTGACTGTTGCCAACAAATGATGAGGGGAGCCACTCTTCAGATACTGGATTCTCACCAAAGGGGTCATACTTCGGCGTATGTGACTACTTCACAATGTATCAGGTAGTATATGTGAAGCTAAATTTACGCACCGAGGTCAAGCAGGACAGACCAAATGTCTGGAGGCGGGGGAGGTCTGGGACGTGGTCAACTTGGATGTGGGGCAACGGCGATTCAGGTCCGTCGTCAACAAGCTTTTGAACCATCAGAGCCGCCGATGATGATGAGAACATATCGTCCTCGTCTTCCGCTTCGCAGATTGGCTAATACAGAAATTAGTATTGGTAGACTCGCTCAGTAATATTGTCCATACTGAAACGGTCCCTGGAACAGGACTCCATAGAGGCAACGTGTGCTTAAGGAGATCGCTGTTGTTCATCTAGGATGCTGTAAGTTCGGAGAAAAGTCACTACTAATGTAAACCTAACGACATTGAAGACAGGACTTAAAGGCGATTTTGCGGACAAAGGTGCCGAGCGATGAAGTGCTGTGAGAGTTTGGTCGGAATGAGGAAGAGCTGGCGAGCTCAAAGCAGAGGTAGTCTATACAATAAATTTCATTAAGCATAACGAGGTTGTCGTGAGGGAGCCACACACACCATTCTCGGCGCTAACCTGACTAGCGCTGGTGAAAATATGCCACGAGGTGACTGCACGGGGGAGGTCAGTGCAGAGGATACGAGGGAGTGAGTCGCGACGTGCTAAATTTCATATGAATCGACCTGATGGTACAGGAAATAGAAGGGCTTACAGCGACATATTCTTTCTCATTAGCAAAACCTTTCTTGCACCTCATGCATTTCGGATGTTGGGGAGAATTGGTATAATGGTTATGGAGGGCATCAATGTCAAAGAATTGCTGGTCACATCCACCGCAGTGCGCATCTGAATGGATGATGGCACAATGCTGCAAAGTTTTGAAGTGTGTAAATTTTAGATTCACCAATCTCGATGGGAACAACACCGTACCGAAGTGTATTCTACATCATTCAAGAAGCCTTCGTCGCACGAATGACATTTTGGGTGCCGCGGAGAGTCTTTGAAGTGTTTTGATATTTCATGTTCATACATTGTCCTTCGGCAGATATCGCAAGTTGCTTGTGGATGGCTCTCGTTGTGGTGCTAGAATTTGCTGTGAGGTCGCGACAGAACTTGAGAATGTTGAAGCACGTACGGTGTTCGCCAAAGCTTGCGTCCTGAACCCCCGTCCGCAAACGGGACAGTTGGGGTGATTGGGAGACCCACGAAAATGTTCGTCGAGTGAGACTTGCGATTTGAAGGGCCGGCCACAGTCTATACAATCGAACATTGGCGGGTGCCTCGCGGCTTTGTGCTAAGGATAGATAAGAATCAGACATGTAGCATAGAGGCGAGACACTCACAGAGTTCAAGGATAGTTCGTCGACAAATCGTCGGTCGCACAGCTTGCAGTAGGGATGGGGTAAAGACGAGGATCGCATATGATCCATTAGAGCAACAGACGTTATAAACGACCGGTTGTCGCAATAAGGACAAGTAGGCATTGTCAAGGGGGCGAAAGAGTGAGTCAGTGGGTTAAGAGAAGCTGTAGAATTCACACCAAATGCCTTGCGCCAATCTCATGGCCATGGCAGAAACTCGTGTTACATTGACGAAATCGACATAGAAATCTGGTAAGTGCTTAGAGTTGAATAATTTAGTCAAAGATCAACGCAAGAGGAGTGAGAGAGTTACTTGTTTGGCTCTTTCGAAAACTTCGTTGTCGTGAACCATTGCATGAACGATACCGAGTAGAGCTTAGTGACAATGACGAGATCGCAATGATTGGAGAACGTGGCCACCGCGTGGGTAACAATCGAAAATATACCCCTTAACGCGGAATCATTGCAAGCAGACAACTAAAAGCGCTTCCTTCATCGGAGCCGCATGAAACTGACATACTAGTACATATCTCCGTAGAATTTCCAGGTACGAAGTCGAAACCTGAAACATGACGAAGCAACTTGGAAGCACAGAGAAAGCTTAAGAGGAAATAAAATAAGCTTATCTTGGTATTTCCCCTTCCAGACCAGGGTCGGGGACTACAGTCGGTTCATCTATGTCCGAGCCCGTACGAAAACTAAAATAAAATGAATTGGTACCGTATTGTACAACATACGCGGCTTGATGAGAGTTCAAATGTTCACGGCTAATTTAAGAAGAATTTATAAGTAGCCTAAGAAAGATGAGAAGCGCCGTGCGTGTATCCACAAGAAAATACGCACCCCATGACATGGGATGTGTTGGAGTTGTTGGGCGATGCATAGGCAAACGCGTCGTCGTGACATATGTGATGTTCCTGTATGTTAGCGACCAACTACTACAAACAAACCAAAACTTAAGGCTGTGCTTCACATTCAGACAAGCAGCACTTAAGGGGTCTGAAGAGAGCAGGAAGTGTCTCAATCAAGTCGGGCGATGCTGAGAGTTCAGTCAGAAGATTATTGGGAGAATAAACTTTAGTCTGAAGCTGAGGCTTAAGGCCACAGCTGAGCTACCTTATATACAAAAGAGTGTAGTCTAATAATATGTAACGACGGTGCAGTGTAAGACCTGTAGTCATACCAGAGACATCTGATATATGAGTGTCGCAGTAAGGAATGTGTATATTGTTTGTGCATTATATGGTAATAGTCCTGTAATGACATAAATACATGAGTATTTCAGTGTGTTGTGCTGCAGAGTGGGGTTGTAGCACAACAAAGGTGTGGAAGCAGTGCATGAATGATGTGGGGAATGATGCAGGTGAAGAATGTGAAGGTGTGAAATGGTCATGTTCATAACAATACCCCCCAGTCAAGGCAGTCATCTCAACTGCTTATTTGCTGTAGTGATTGATGTTGACCCCTTGGTCATGATCATAGTCCAGCAGGTCTTCCTGGTCATAGAAGAAGTCGCTGACCTTGGAGTCAGTGTTTTTCCACTGGTAGAGCTTTTTTGGCTCTAGGGGGTGTCACCACAGCATATAGTGGCATGAGCTATATTGTTTATAGTCTCACTTGTTAAAATGCCTCTTGAGGGCATAGAGGATTTGCTTGTCCCCATTGAGATACTCTCTGATGAGGTCCTGGCAGTGCTCCAGGTCCTCAGCATGCATCCACTCATTCTCCTCATTCAGCATGCCTCACCATTTGACAAGGTACTCGATCTTTAGGGATCCTCTCCTGCAGTGGATGATTTGGTCATCAAGTATGCACTTGACTTCCTGTTCATACTGGCCCTCAACTAAGTCAGGTGGCAGTGGAGGTGGCTGTTCCTGATTAGAGAATGCCAGTGGGTGGTAATGGGTCAGAAGGGACTCATTGAAGACATTGTGAATCTTCCATGTGGGTGGAAGTCCAAGACAGTATGCTGACTTCCTGACCTTCTCCTTGATGGTGAAGGGTCCTACTCATTTGATGTTGAGTTTCTTTTTTAGACAGGAGAGGGAGAGGTTGGTGGCATCGAGCCACACCTTGTCACTGGTGGCATATCATTCTGCTGCACTCTTTTTCTTATCATAAGCATGTTTCATTGCTTCTGATGCTTTAGATAAGGCCTTTTCAGCCATCTTGTAAATATTGTTTATGTCTAATAAAAATTTGGCTGTTGTGGGCCAAAGATTTTAACTTGTGCACACTGGGCACACCTCAGCATTTTGGCCAGTGATGATGTGGAAGGGTGCATACTCTGTCAAGGAGTGCACCCAGTTGTTGTGCTGAAAGACAGCCAGTGCCAACTATTCAGACCAATTATCTTGATGCCAGTTGATGAAAAGATGGAGATATTTTTCAATCTCTTGGTTGACCTGTTTGGTTTGTCTATCAGTCTGTGGATAATAGGCCATAAATGAGTTTCCTTTGATGTCTGGCATCTTGCATAATTCTTTGATGAAGCCTGATATGAACTGTGAGCCTCAGTCTGAGATGATTTTCCTTAGCATCATATCATGTTTGGCAAAAACTTCATCATGAAGGATGCAGGCTCATCCTTCTGTAGTCAAATCCTTGCTTGTGGCTACTGGTATGATCATCTTAGAAAAGCAATCCATAATGACAAGAATAAAATCATACCCCTTTGACTCAAGTAGATCTATTATCATATCAACCAATATGATCTCCCACAGTTGGATGGGGACTTTGTTAGGGTGTAGAGGCATGCAGTGCCTCTGAATGTCCATTTTGTTTTTCTGACAATCTTGACAGTCCTGAATATAGGCTTCAACTTCTCCTTTCATCTTTGACCACTAGAACTCTCAAAGGATGAGCTCCTTTGTTTTCTCCACTTCTGAATGTCCAGCTGTAATATGATCATATGATATTGAAATGATGCACCCTCAGAGTGTGTGATCTTTTGGAACATAGACTCTATCATCATATATGAGCAGACTGTCTTGCTTTAAAATCTCTCACTCATGATGGAGTGAGTTCTAGATACTCCTGTTCTATAAGTGCATCTCTTTCAGCATGTTTTGAATGTCCTGATGAACTTCTTCTTCTGTCAGCAATGTCATTTCCCAGAAGAATTCTGGTTTGAGCAGGACAATGTCTTTGTTGTCATTCATGCTCATGCCATGGTCAGCTCATTGGCTGAGCAGATCAGCTTTTTTGTTGGCCATTCTGGGTTTGTGGTGCAAAGTAAATTGGTACTCTGCTGTTAGGCTCAAGCATCATGTGAACTGATACATGTGATAAACAGGTGTCCCTTCACACTTCGAGGAATCAGCTGAGTCCACTGAATGTATATCCATTCGGTGTGTCACAAAGTCAGATGTTGACTCGAGGTAGAATGGTGGTTATAAACTTTAGCTCGAAGCTGGGGCATACCAGTGAGAGCTACAAGTCTTAAGTACTGTACAGGCTGTGCTAATAATACTCTGGCTAATTGTGTCTTTCTGTGTCCATGGTGCTTGTTGTCCTTGAGCATCGTTATCATATATAAAAGATCAATTGTGCATTGTTAAGCACTGTTGTTGTGCATCAGTGAGTGAATGATGAATGAGCTGATTGTGATGACTAAGCCCTTCCCATAACTTCCATTTGATGTTCTGACTAAGCATAAATAGGGGTGAAAGACAAAGAAAAAGAGAAAATAAAGGGAAAAATCATAACATTACCCTCTCCTTAAGACTATTGTCCTGATGGCTTAATTTAGAGATAATTCATAGTCATGTATGGCCTCCTCTGCATTCATGTATTTCTCGTTGATCCATTGATTGGACTTCAGTCTGTACCCTTTCCAACTGACGAGGTAGTCCACCATCATGGTTGTTCTGCTGCCCTTTGCTCTGATCTTTTGGAGTTTATGATTTAGGACTTGATCGATTTCATAGTGTTCTTCGTCATCAATTAAGTCTGGAGGCAGTGGTGGTGGCCTTTCCTGATTAGAAAAGACTGGTGTGATGTATGAGGATAAAAGCATTTTGTTGAAGGTGTCATGGATTTTCCAGGCAGAGAGTAGCTTTAGCTTATAAGCTGCCAGCCCTACTTTTGATGTTATTTCGAAGAGGCCGGTCCATTTGTCAGTGAGTTTTCTTTTTGGGCATGGCAGATGAAGGTTTGTAGTGTCCAGCCACATCTTTTTCTTAATTGTATAGTTGTGTGCTGGTCTATGATGTTTGTTGTATTGTACCTTTATGGTTTCTGCAGCCTTTTCTAGTGTGGTTTTGGTCTCGGTATGGATTTTTGTCATGTTCGATGCGAAGTCAGTTGAGGCTGGGGTAGAGGATCAATGTTGTGTTATTTGAGCGACATTAGGGTGTCAACTATGATTCATGAAGAATGGTGTTTTCCCTGTGGCTGAGTGTGTACAGTTATTATGTTAGAATGCAGTGAGAGCCAACTATTCTACCCAGTCATCTTGTTGGTAGTTAATAAAGAGGTGTAGATACTTTTCTACCTCTTGATTGACCCATTCTGTTTGCCCATCAGTTTGCAGGTGGTATGCTGTCAATGCATTCTGTTTGATAGAGAGGAGGCAATATAGGTCATCGAGAAATTTGGAGATGAATTGGAGTCCTCTGTCTGAGATGACAACTTGAGACATGCCATATTTTGCATAGACTTCATTGTGCAGGATCTTTGCCTATCCTTCTGAGGTTAGTTCAGTGGAACAGGCAATGGGAATGATTGCTTTTGAGAAGCAATCGACAATAATGATTATCGCATCATACTCCTGACAATTTGGTAACCTGGTAATCATATCAACTGAGATATGAGTCCATGGTGTAGTCAGGATTTCATTTGGATGTAGGGGGGCAGCCTGAGCCAAGGTTGATGCTTTCCCATGCTAATAGACCTCACAGGCTTTGACATAAGTGGTGATATTATTGTCTATTTTGGGCCACCAATAGTTCTGTAGTACCAATTCTTTGGTTTTAGTGATACCAAGATAGCCAGCGATGGCATGGTCATGACAGGTGGCAATGATTTTGCCTTGGAATCTCTGGTCTCATGGGATATAGATTCATCCATTATACTGGATCATCCCATTACTCTTGGTCATCCCTTGCTCATGATTTAGAGATGGGGCAATACATTGATCTCATTTGTGACTATCTCAAGTTGTGCTTTTGATCCGCTTGTAGATTTCTTCCTCTATTAGCATTAACATGGCACAGAAGTGTTTGAGGCATAATAGTGTTACCCCCTTATTGTCAGCTGTTCTCTGGTCATGATCTGCTCTCCTGCTGAGTAAATCAGCCTTCTTGTTGGCCATTCCTGGCTTGTGATGGAGAGTGTATTAGTATTCACTCAGTTCTGTGACCCATTGTGCCTGCCGCTGATTGAGTTTCTGGAGTTGTCAGAAATACCACAAGTTCTGATGGTCGGTCCAGATTTCAAAAGTT